AAAAACATAATTACACTCATCCTATTTTTAATCCAATATTTTTAAAATCAATATATTAAAAATGTCCATTTTTAAAAATTTATTTTTCTGAATAAATGTATCATGACAAAAATTAATCATTTGTATTTTCATATTATTCCATAGATTACCCATGACACTGACATTTCATTTATTTTATTATCATTCTTTTATTCAGTTGTCAAATGATTTACATTGGAATTTGAATTTTAAATTATTTCATTAAATGAAGAACTTCTAAATCAAGATTTCCTACAACTTTTACTGGACTACTTTTATCTTAAAACTAAAGATTATGGTGAATATAATAACCCATGGGGGGAAATAACATACTGTATATAATCCATGCGCTGCGGGGGAATTCAACTAAATAATTAGAAAATGTTGTGCCCTCATCTCTATTCAAAGATCGTAGCAGTGTTACCAGTGCCCATGTTTACACTTTTTTTTTCTTCGTAACTTCAACTAATGAGAGGTGTCAACTCGGCCACTTCCTTCACTTCCTCAATACTAACATGAATGTGTATGCGCGTGCGCACGCTAATGTGAGGCCACCCGCTAACAACGCCAACGGGGGGAACCGACAAGGGTGAACAATGACATTTTGTCCCCCACCCCACTCCCAAGCACCCAAATTTACAAAGGACAATACTAGTCTGTCTCAGGCACACACACACACACACACACACACACACGTGTGGTGTCTCACACACGTCTCAAACAGAATTAGCCGCCACTTCCTCTCGCCGTCAGGGCCAACAAGGTTGCGCGATTTTGGGAAACAATAAGCAGCCTCCACGTATTGTTTGCAGCCGATGAACATCTGCCCGCAGACGCCGCCATTTTAGCATTAGCATGTTGGCATTAACGAGTCACTTGCTGCTTCACTGCGTTTTGGTTGGTTGATGAGAAACCCTGTCCTGAAAATTGGCTCATCGGTCGTAACGGAAGAATCGGTGATGATGTGATGCGATTTTAAATACCATGAAATTGCTCGGTTGACTTTGACAACAAATCAGAAACGCCAATGAGGGCGCTAAGATGCGCGAAGTGGGCTGTCGCCACTGAAACCAGTTACGTAAGTGTCCAGACGTGGCGCTTCCTGTGGCGACACCCCATAGCAAAACATCGCCACTCAGATGGGTTTAATTAGCATTCGACATTTTTAAGGTTCCCAAACATCCGTCGTCATCTGTCTCAGAGTCAGAACCTTGTAGCATTTTGCTAGGAAGTCCAAAGGAAAACAAACAAGATGCGCCAAAACCACATGGGAGAGTCAAGTAGCGAAACCCCGTGTATGGCGGTGGACACTTTTTTTGTAAAACAAAAGAGAATTAAATATTGTATGTCACCAAAACGTTCAACTAAAGCCATATAACAACTAACGTCTGCTAGCTTGATGTCAAGGTAGAATTTGAATAGCTACAGAAAAGCTAACCGTAATTCTACACCAGCTATTTTTTTTCCGAATGGACTGACAGATCTGCTCCAGAAACCAGTTTCGAATAGCAACATGGAATTTGGAGGGTGTGCATCATGACCACACCACAAAAAAATAAGTCTCAAGACATGCCTGAAAAGACACAGGAAGTCCTCCGATTTGGATAGGAAACGGCCATTTTAAGGTCATTGGAGCATTTTCATGGGTCCTCCATTTTGTTTGAAAATTCAGCCCGCCAACTCGATTTGAGTAGGAAACATGAAATTTGGTTGACATATCTATCATGAGTAAAGCCACAAAAAGGTCTTAAAAAAGGAATGCCTAAAAAGACACAGATTGTCCGCCATTTGGACTTAAAGCGTCATTTAACCGTGAGCATCCATGAAATGTGAAATGCTACGCTAACGAAAATAATCATGGATGTAACGCTCATTCAAAAATTTTCAAACAACTGCCACTTTCTCGCGCACGGAGCGAATATACTGTATCACGATGCTCACAGGCATATCCTTGCTGTCTGGCGGAACGACGCGATCTCCAAATATGGTCAATTTCCTTTTCTTTTTTTTTTTCTCTTCACAAATTCATACTGTCGGTCTGGTTCCCATCTGTTATTTTGACGCACGATTACACAAATTATAGTGTTGACGGTTACTCGAGAATAATCTTGAACTCCCTGAGAAGTGAGCCACACAGCATTGCGTCACGGCAGCATTGAACGGTGGGCTATAGATATTTTTTTAGTCAATAATGAGTGAAAATAATTTGGTGCGTTTGAGTAACCCTGTTTTGTTGCAACTGGACAAGACCGAATGCTTCTCTGGTAAATCTGCAAGAAAATGGGACAAGACTGAGGCACGCATCATGTGTGGCTAAATTACCACACAACAGCCTTTCACAATAAAAGCCCATCATGTGTCACGGACAGCCTTGAAGCGCGCAAAATAAAAGACAACCAAGATTAGATCCAGACGCCGAAGCGTCACAGAAACCGCCATTGTTTGGAGGGCAGTTGGGTTGGTGGCCTGATTTGCAGACAGAGGGTGGAGAGGTGGTGGTGGTTGGGGGGCGGGGGGGCATCCCTCACCTTCAAAGGGTGGCCCTTGAAAAGGCGGCCTGACTAATCACAACATGTGATGAGACGCCAGAACAAAGAGTGGAGGGGCAGAAAATAACAGCGTGGGAACTCTGGCTGAACTTGAAATACAACAAATGAGCTCAACGCTACTTCACCACCTCCCCCTCCTGCGACCGTCGCCCCACATCCACCCCCCCCCCACACCACTGACATTCTGCCACTTCTTCCCCCATCCCTCTCACGTACACACTGAACACACACACTCACACATGTGGATGCACACCTGTGTTTATTGTGCCAGAGTTTGCATCATGTCGCACATGTATGAGTTTTTGGTGACGTCACGTTTTTGACACTTTTAACAATGTTCCTCGCTGCGAAATCCCCCCATTGATTGTTTGCAAAATTCAGCCCCCGAAACCGGTTTAACGCAACAAAGTGAAATTGGGTACATATGGCGATCATCAGTCGACCCTCCCAAAAAAAAGTCTCAAGAAGCATTGTGGGAAAAGACACAGTTTGGTTTGAAGAGACCATTTTAGCCCTTTTTGTGGTCCTTCCAACTATTTGAAAATTCTACCCCTGAAGCGATGTGAAATTTGGTAGACATGTCTACCATGAGTAGACCCACAAAAAAACGTCTCAAGAAGTCATGCCTGAAAAATCACAGAAAGTCTGCCATTTTGATTTGAAAGCGGCCATTTTAGGGTCATTTGACAGGTTTCAGACGTCCTCGCTTGAAAATGTACAGGAAATCTGCCATTTTGATTTCAAGCAACAATTTTAGCATTGTTTTGTCACTTTTCAGGGGTCCATCTAATTGTTTGAAAGTCCAACCCCCAAATCTGATTTGACGACCTGAACTTTGCTTGGTATGAGTAGACCCACGAAAAAAGTCTCAAGAAGTCATGCCTGGAAAATCACAGAAAGTCTGCCATTTTGATTTGAAAGCGGCCATTTTTGGGTCATTTGACAAGTTTCAGCCATCCTCTGGATTGTTTGAAAGTTCAGTGCAAGAGAAACCATGTTCCAAAAGACAAAAAAAGGCAGTCATCTTGATTTGAAACAGACTTTTTAAGGGTTTGAAATGTCCAAGGGCTCCTTGAAAGACAGACTTGTATCAAGTCATTAACGTTACAACCTATTTGTTTTGATAGAAGACAATTACCACCATCTTGAGGTTATCCCTAACGACATGACCAGGATCTATGGACGTTAACACTCTGCGTAATTGTATGGACCCCCCCCCACCCCCCTCCTACACGTGGTAATACGAGACTCCCTCTTGTGTCCAAACACTGCACTGGGGCTGTCAAACAACGAGGCGTCGTTGCATCGCATTGAAGAGGAGGAGGCACCCGGAGGGGAGGCTGCCGGGACGAGGTGGCTTCCTCTGGCTGCAGCGGCGCTCCCGTCTCCGCTGGCTGCCTGCCTCAGTGTGTGTGTGTGTGTGTGTGTGTGTGTGTGTGTGTGTGTGTGTGTGTGTGTGTGTGTGTGTGTGTG